AACTAGTAAAATATTACCTCGTTCCAAAGTGAAGTTCCCATTGCGGTCTACGATGCTTAACTAAAGTTATTTTCATTGAAATTTATTTGAAAATTGGCGTGGAATTAAAAAATAAATTTATAGCTTTCAAAAAAATAAAATTTTTATATTTGAAAACTACATCAAAGATTCTATTAAACAAGAAGGGGAACATGATATACTCCCTCCATCCCATAAAACCTTTCTCCTTTGTTTTTTCATCCGTCCCATAAAACACTTCTCATTTCTATTAAAAAGTCACTTTTACCCCTTACTTTTTCATACCCTACCTATCACATCATACCTTTTTACTAATAATCTACCCATCAAATCCTACTTTTACCCATCACATTAAAGGATATTTTTGGAAATTCAATATCAAAATACACTCCCTTAAATCTCTTCAAAAAGCAAAACATCCCATGTTTCATGGGACGGAGGGAGTATAATTTTATCTAATGAGTAACGTAAAGATGCAAAGAAAGTGGAAAAAGTTGACCATGTGAATAGTGAAGGGGAACTTCATTTTTGGACGGAGGTAGTAGTGAATTTGAGTCCTTGTTCAATGTTCACTTGCCCCACTGCCCTGTACAATCTTTTTCTACAGCTAGGCGTGTCATATCATTTAAATTTTGACCAATAATTGTCCTCCAAGATGTTAGATTGTTTATGTCAACTCTTCAACTTGTTTCCTAAAAGTGACTATATTCATGATCCCCAGTTATTAATCATCAACTTTAGAGTATCACACTTGTTACCATAACTTCTACTCCTGTTTCATTCATTCATACTTTATTCCTTTTCAAATAATTGTTATCAGGATGTTGAAAAGTACAAATTGGGGAATCCTAGGAAATTTTATTATCTAAACCAGTCAAAATTTTTTGAATTGGACGAAGTGGATGAATCTAAAGAATACCTCGCCACCAGGCGAGCCATGGATGTTGTAGGGATCAGTTCTGCCGTTCAGGTATTAGAATCAAAACACTATTATTTATAAAAGGATGGCCTGGTGAAGATTCTATTAATAAATCCATTGGCAGGATGCCATTTTTAGAGTTGTGGCTGCAATACTTCACTTGGGCAACATTGAATTTGTGAAGGGAAGCGAGCCTGATTCTGCAGAACCTAAGGATGATCAGTCTCGCTTCCATCTTAAAACTGTGGCTGAACTTTTCATGTGAGTTTCTCTCTGCATGTTTCTCAACATATCTTAGATT